TAAATGGGAGATTTCAATATTATCCCAGGTGGGACATCTGCTAAGAGCAACATATGCTTGTCCTGATGAAAAAATATTACCATCTAATGCTAAACATACTTTTGGTAAAGTGAGACCTTGAGTTTTATGTACTGTCAAGGCAAAACAATTTTGTAATGGAAATTGTATATGTTTACAATTATTTCTATAGATTTCAAAGTAGTGAGTATGTTTATAAACTTGAATATCTATTATAGCTCCTTTAATAGAGAATACTACTCTAACCAATTGTTTTACTAAGTTAATATCTGTAACAACCCGTTGCAAATTCCTTGTTCAATTAAAGAATTGTTAAAGTAGATAACATGTGCACCAGGTTGTAAATGAATATAAGATGATAAATTAATTTTTGATTTAAACATTTGCTCTGAAGAAGAGGTATTTCAAAATTCAGAATTCACCATATCTACTGCTTTGGAAATTAGAAACTTATTATCTGAAACAGGTAACATATTACAGATCATTCTATTAATCTGCTTTGTATTTTCTTGAAAACCTACAATATGGGTGATATCAAATTTTAAACTTAATAAAACTTGAATGGAAGTGGCACTCACCTTAAAATAAAAATATATCAATTAATTAGTATTCTCTTTTTTTTTCATTTCTTAATTTCATTAATCAAGATCTGTTTAAAGTACTAACTGTATACCATCCATTGTTGGCTACAAATTTTCCAGTTAAAAGTATCACTTGTTCCTTTTCAAACTTCTCAATTTGTGTTTTTATAATTGGGTCCAGTGAAACAAAAGCTTTAATTCTCAAATATATAATTTTTTGAAATTATTGTTATCCAGTTTAACAGAATTCTATTTTTTTACTATTTATCCCAGAAAAAAATTCAATTTCAAAAGAAAAGAAAAAGGAAAGAAATTTGAAATCCTATATAAAAACTTGAGTTTTTATTTATTTTATTGTTCAAATCTTTTTTCATATTGTCAAACAATATTTACCTTTATATTTTTATTACTTTATCATATTTTGTTAAACCATAATAATTTAATAATAATGAATAATTATGATAAAATATCTAAGTAAAAACATTCCATCTAATTTTACATTTAATTACTTTATCATGTCTTGGTTAAATTATAATAATAATAATAAATAATAATATTTAAAATACCTAAATTCAGCAAAAATATTTTTATTTTTTATCAGTGAAATTTATAAATAATAACATTTAACCTTTATATTTAATTACTTTATCACATTTGGTTAAACTATAATAAATAATAAATTATAAATAATAATAATAAAATATCTAAATATAATAAAAATATATATAGTGTAACAAAAATTTTTAGTAGAATTTATAAATAATAACATTCCATTTATTTTTATATTTTATCACTTCACTATATTTGGTTAAAAAAAAAATAATTTATCACATTAGGTTAATTTATAATAAATAATAAATTATAAATATAATAATAAAATATCTAAATATAGCAAAAATATAGTGTAGCAAAAATTTTTTATTTTTTATTTATAAATAATGACACTCCAGTTACTTTTATATTTTATCACTTTATCATATTTGATTAAAAAAAGAAATAATTCAAAGAATATAATAGATTCATGTAATGGATTTTTGAAAATCCATTATACAAATTTATTATATTCTTTGAATTATTTCTTTTTTATATAAAGAACATAGATTCCTGGAGGGTGAGTGGGAGGAGTGGGAATAACATAATTATGTTATTCCCACTTAGTTTAGGTTATTTCCACTCAGGTATGTAGCTTGACGATTGAAAATGGCCACCGTCGTCATATGGTCTGATGACAAGAGTTGGCCACCATCGTCAGTGGCGTGATATATTTTTTAGGCCACACTCGAACGGATATATATCAGGCCAGTGATCTA